CAAGAGGAGGGTGGTCCAATAGTAACAGTGTGGCTATGATGTTGGTCCCCATGGTAATGGCTGTCATGACTCTGGTTTCCATGACTATTGTCACCATAGGTAGTGGTGTCATAGTTACTATTGGGTTGGAGATTAGACACAGGGGCTGTAGGCTGATTACTCCAGGAAGCTGTCATAAGCTGTTGGAGCTGCTGAGTCAGCTCTAGGACCTGTGCTTGAAGAATAGAAATGGGATCAGGGAATTCTTCTGCTTGTTCCATAATGGTGGATATGGAATAAGGCAGGTGTTGGGTGTGTGTGGTAAGAGTAAAGGCAGGTAAGAGTAGAGGTGGAGTGGTGAAGCAGAGGTTGTCACTTGGAGACTTGGTCTTCTGTTAGGGCAACACAGGCTGACTAAGTCTGCTCACCTAAGAGTGCCAAGAGTCTAAGCAGGCAACAAGGAAGTGGAGTAGACCTGATGACTAAGACCTATCTACAGTATAGGTATCTGTGGATGATCCTAAGAGACCAAGTCTGAAGAGACAGTCCCGGGCAGAGTAGGCCTTATATTTATACCTCTGTGGTGGAACCTGCTAGAACATCTTGCTTACTCAGCCTAGTCAGGTGATCAGGTCATATGACCAAGGATGAGGTCATATGAGGTCATGCACAGCCATGCACAGCAGGTCACCTGACCATCCAATCCTTCCAGCAGGTTCCAGCACATGCCAAGGTATACCAGCTACTTCCATGTCATAAAGGCTTAGTCATGTCTCTTGACCAAGCAATGAGCTGGTGCCCTGACAATAGTATACTAACTTGGGGTGACTTGGGCATGACCAAGTGGGAATGTCATTACAAGGTATATATGTGTGGCTACTAAAGTCTAAACTGCAGGAGAGGCCTTGGGAGCAAAGGTCATGATCAGCTTTTGCATGGCCATAGCTTGATAGGTCACAGGGATCTCATCCACAGTCTTGTACAACTGCTCAATGCTAAACTCATGCACAGAAATGTTACCAGCAAGGCAAAAGGTCTTCCCAGGTCCAAGGTCCCAGAGATAGGAGAGCTCCGCTCTTGTCAGGGTGCTCCACTCTGCACTTTGATGGTAGAGTGGGTGCATCTGAACAGACTAAGGGCTAGACTGCTCAACAAAGTCTTGCCAGGTGGGGTATACAGCAGGCAAAGGGTACAAGAGGGACAGGAGTGCCTTCTGAGCCTTGTCCATCACAGCACAACAGCATACATTGTTAAGCTGTGCATGGTCCTACAGATCTATGAGCAGAGTATCATAGGAACAGGAAAAGGTTCATGTACATATGTATATGCTTCAAGGTTCTGGATCTGCACCTCTTTACATGCAATATTCTCCTCCAGCTTCCAAATCACATTGCAAATCTGGCTTTTTTTCTGAACCTCCTGCTGAAGCTTGTTGATGATGTTGCCTAGTTCCATAATTTTATCAGTGTACTGCTCCCCTTCTGCATGTAGTTCCTTGTTTATCACAAGCAACTGCTTATCTTCTGCAACCACATGCATGGTGTGTAGCTGCTGCTTCTTGAACTCATCCTTCAGAGAGGTCTGCTCAGCTTCCATCACAGCCATTCTTGCAAGGATCTGCTGCATTGCTTCATCTGGACCTAACAGACTGATCAGAATGCTATCCTGCAATCTGCATGCCATCACTCACTTGGAACTGGTGCATTCAGATGATGCTGCAAATCAGCCACCTTCAGCCACTCTGTAGTGAGCAGGCTGCATCCCTGATGGATCATATCTCCAACAGGGGTAGGAAGGTCTTTGATAGTGGTGGTGGATTTGGGGGTAGGGCTGAAGAGGATCACAATGTTTGCATCAACAGGAATGGGGTTGTTGTCATTGGCAATTTGAGGTGCCTGAGCAAGCGCTGAGACAGATAATCAGATGAAGATAATAAAGATATGGGATTAAGCACGTATGAGTCATCCATATAACCTCAGACAGGTCTGGTTTGAAGGGCTCTGACAGTCATGGAGAAAGTGTACTCTTGAGATGTGCAGACAGAGTATCTCTCCCAGCCCTAACTATGTCAGGGCACTGCCTGTTACCACCCTGGCCACCCATTTTGCCCTAGGAGCAATGAAACAACAAGCCCCTGAAACTTCCTATGCTGGTCACTACCTTAGGATGATGGCAGTGGCCACACAAGACATTGTGAAGAGGATACCATAAGACTGCTGTGTCCAGACACTTGGGATGAGACATAGTGGTGCTAGACACCCCTACTGAGAGTAGTGAAATGCAAGATGACACTTGTGGGAGTCTCCACAATTTATTGGAAAGGTTTGGGAGGCCGAGGGGTGTTGTTAGGACATCTATCTGACACTTGTAGGAGTCCCCAGAATTTACCTGGACTTCTGGGCTTCTGGTGAACACCTACAAGGTATATAAACAGTAGTACAGTGACACTGTATCCCTCAGATTTGATCTCTGAGGAAACTCCTTAGTCTACAAGCAGTTTCTAAGTCATCTTATTGTCTTGGACCCCCTTCCACACACACCTGAACACCCTGCCCTCATAAACCTGCCTTGACTCCACAACTCTTGCTAAACTTTTCAGCTATCTATAACTGACTTACAACACCCCCTGGGACCCCCCAATTACCCCCTGGGACCCCCCCAACAATCCAGCTGGCCCTGGTGACTTGGATATCAATTAGTACTGCTGGTTAGAGCCGCTTCCAACCACAGTAGACCCCCCAGGACTTCATCTATTGTTTGGGATTAGTGTGTGGCAACCTTGCTAGACCTAGTGCCCTCACATACTAGGGCTTAATGAGGAAAAAATGGTCTGCCTTGCATGTTGAAAGTCATCACTGTCTGGAAGCTATACTCAGTGTAGATGACACTGATAACCTGAAGGTGTGCATAGGAGGGATTGGGATCCAGTGAGGGAGCAATGTTCTTAGATGACAGGGGCTTTTGAGCAGATGAGGATTTGGATGGCTTGAACAACTTGGACATGGTTGCCAGCAGTGAGGAGGTAAGAGCAGTGAGGAGGCAAACATGAGGTTGTTGTTTGCAGAGTTGCAGCAATGAGGACAATAGATCCCAATGGAGCTCTGAGATTACCAAGTGTGGTAAATGATTTCCATGTGGTAGTAACAAGATTTTCATGTGCCATACATTCTTGTGTGCTATGTAATAACTTCTGGCCTCAGTCTGACTGGATGGCTATGCCCTCTGTCCCACATCTGAGTCTGACATGCCTGCTAGGCACTCTGGCAACACTCTGGGCACCACTTGTCTGTCTCTGGCTGCTGACTGAGCACATCACCTCTTCCCAGTCCTACACTCATTTCTCTTGCACATGCAAGCCTGGTATGCCTCCTAGGGACTCTGGCAATGCTATTGGCTTGACATCTGTCTGTCATACTGAAGAACTGACCATATCACCTTCAACTGGCACAAGCACCCCCCTCTCACCTATATATGACCCTCATACACCTCCAAGACACTCTGGCAAAGCTATTGACACTGTTTTGACTCTATGGAGTAGCTATATGCTACCGTACCTAAGGAGATCTTGATACAACCTTAGGGGGACATGAGGACCGTAGCAGGCAAGGCTTGTTGCAACCATTGTTGCACATCATCACACATTGTCCCTCCAAAATTGGGATTGTCTTTTGCACTTGAAATCAATGTCAGGGGTGAAGGGAGTATGGGCAAGTGCACTGGGAAAAAATCAAATGTTTCGGAGCAGTCTGGGAAACTTTTTGCTAGTGAGCACTTTTTTGCAATGATGGACCCTTGTGATGATGGGGATACCTACTCACACATCCTGTTTTTCTCATTATTGTACTAATCAATTCATGATTATTTCAATGTCCCTGGGAAGTGGAGACTTCAAGGTGCAATCCAGTCTTTGAATCATGTTTGTAGCTACTGTATTTGTGTGAGGGACGTTTGTACAATTATGGTCCCCCAATGGACCATTGGGCCCTTAGCCCACTGCTAGGGACATAACTCTAGGTCCCTGACCATGTTGTTTGACATCAAACAGCACTCAAATAGCCTGAAACTGCAGCTGCAGATTGCTTTCCATAAGAAACTAGGAATAGCAAGGCTTGCTTTGAACATACCTCCATGAATTCTTCTTCAATTGAAATAATACCAGATTCTTTTTGGAGCAGGGACATAGCTCTAGGTCCCTGGCATGTTGTTTGATGTCAAACAACAGGTTAAGTGACCCAAAATTGCACCTGCAGCTTGGTTTTCATAATAAATCTATAAAAGCAAGGCTTGTTTTGAGTGTATCCCCATCAATTCTTCTTCAAATAAGATGATACCAGGTTTTTTTTGGAGCTTGGACACAGCTCTAGGCCCTTGACCATGTGGTTTGACATTAAACAACAGGTTATATAGCCTGAACAACAGGTTAAATAGCCTCACCAAGTGGCTTGATGTCAAATGACATGCTCACCAAGTGGTTTGACATCAAACTATAAGCTCTACAGTTCTAGCCAAGTACTTTGACTTCAAACTACTTGTTTTCCCTCTGACCTACCCCAATCCCTGACCCTTGGTGACTCTGAACACCTATAGGATATCAGCCATCATATTGAGGCTCCTGACCTGGCCTTGGTTGGGATAGTTCCTTGCTATATGGCCAAGTTGCTGGCATTGAAAGCATTGAATAGATGTTCTAGAGCATCTTGTCTTGTCTATATCCATAGCATCCCCAGCATTAGTTACTTCTGGTGTTTTGAACACTGGGGGTCTTGTTGGGAGTGTAAAGGTCACCACAGGCCTTTTGGAGGCTGCTGGCTTGGGTGTTTCTTTTCTCCTAGTCTGGAGTTTCCTCCACTGCTGATCAAAGCATGCAGAGTACTCATACCAGCCCTTGAGAGTTGTTGGCATTGTTGGTAGAGAGTAGATCTTGTCCACAAGAGGGTGGTTGAGGCCCTTTTCAAATTGCTCTATATGAGCTGTGTCTTTGTAACCAGTCTTGATGGCCAGTTCTTTAAACTGCATGATATACTCATCTGCTATCATCGATCCTTGGACCAGAGAGTCCATCTTAGAGTTGTGCTGAGGCTGCTAGGTCTGGATCTCCAAAGGTTTGGCAAAGTTCCTTTTCAAAGGTTTCCCAATCTTCATATAAGACCTCCCCAGGCTTGAGTTTCAGTTGTTGCTCTAAGACTCTATCAGCCCAATCTCCTGCAGCCCCCCCTTGCATATAAGAAAGGGTGAAGTTGATGTAGTCCTGGTCTGTTTGAAGATCATTGGTTCTAATCTTGAAGTACAGAACCAATTGGTGCATAAAGGTGTTGGCCTTGAAGCAATCTCCAGTAAAGATTTCAGGTGGTGCAATCTTGGGAGCCTTTCCTTTAGCTGGGGAAGCAAAATGGGTGAGGAGGAAGTCCATCTTGTCCTCCATTGTAATTGTGGCTTGGCCCTGGGGCTGAGGATCAGGGGCCTGAGGGATATTTGTGGGGTCTTGAGGGTGGTCAGACATGTCATTAAGATGTTTGTGAGTTTGGTGTCAAGATGGCAAAGTTGTAGGAGGAGATCTGATCTTCTGTGAGGGCACTAGGTCTAGCAAGGTTGCCACACACTAATCTCAAACAATAGATAAAGGGGTGGGGGGTTTACTGTGGTTGGAAGCAGCTCTAACCAGCAGTACTAATTGATATCCAAGTCACCAGGGCCAGCTGGATTATTGGGGAGTCCAAAGGGGGTCACTAGGGGGTCCCAGGGGAGGATATAAGTTGGTTATTGAGAGTTGAAAAGTATAGCAAGAGTTGTGGAGTCAAGGCAGGTTTATGAGGGCAGGGTGTCAGGGGTGTGTAGAAGGGTGTCCAGGACAATAAGATGACTTAGAAACTGCTTGTAGACTAAGGAGTTTCCTCAGAGATCAAATCTGAGGGATACAGTGTCACTGTACTACTGTTTATATACCTTGTAGGTGTTCACCAGAAGCCCAGAAGTCCAGGTAAATTCTGGGGACTCTTGCAAGTGTCAGATAGATGTCCTAGCAATACCCTAGGCATCCCAAACCTTTCCAATAAATTGTGGAGACTCCCACAAGTGTCATCTTGCATTTCACTACTCTCAGTAGGGGTGTCTAGCACCACTATGTCTCATCCCAAGTGTCTGGACACAGCAGTCTTATGGTATCCTCTTCACAATGTCTTGTGTGGCCACTGCCATCATCCTAAGGTAGTGACCAGCATAGGAAGTTTCAGGGGCTTGTTGTTTCATTGCTCCTAGGGCAAAATGGGTGGCCAGGGATGGTAACAGGTAGTGCCCTGACAAATTGGCTTTGTCCATCTGACATTTGGAAGGTTGCAGGAGGAGATCTGGTCTATGTAACATTAGCAGAGTCTTAGGGTGTTGGCTCCACTTTGTCAATATAATTTAGTGATGTAGCAGAATAGAATGAGGACTAGTATAGCAGAGTATAGTAAGAGAATACAGAGTGTAAGTGGAACACCTCAATCCTCAAGCTTGTCATCTTCCACAAATGGTGATGACAGGCTAAGGAAGAGGAGTATCATAGCTAGCTATGCATCCACTATGGTGGACATTGGCAGACAGCTCATTAGGGATCCTTTGAGTGGCAATAGGGTCTGATGTTGGTGGGGACATGGCCTCAAAATAAGGATTCAAATTGCTGTGCACATTTGTCTCCACATCTAGTCAAGTGAATACACTGTTTTTGCATCTGCAGAAGTTAATATACTTCCACAGGATCAAATGGAAGAAAAATAAACTTGACAGAAGAGAGTAAGAACTTCTGCAGGGGCTAATGGAGGCAAAACAAGAGAGCAGAAACAAAAATTTTGCCTGCACAGGAGTACCTATCTGCTTCCACTAAATGGAAGCAAAGTATTTGCTCCCATTAGAAAGGAACACTGTATTAGACCCTTGACTTGAATGCGGACCTTTTACCCTGCTCACAGCCACAAAATCCAAGAAAAAAGTCAGAATTAAACACAAATATAGAAAAACCATGGATTTGAGCAAAGTTAAATGCTGAGGACCCTTGTCCAGCAACAACCACGTCTGGTGGCCTTTTGCGGACAGGTGGGACCCCTAACACTGCAGCTATCCATGAATGTCCACCATACATCCACCCTAAGGATGGGATACGGAATCTGATGGTACGGAGGCTGATTACCTATCCCTCCTTCCTGATGACCTCATCGGTTCCTGTGATCGTCACAATAGCCCCCCGGGTAGGACATCAGCCTAATAATCACTGTCCTCTCCATCTAGGGCTCTTCTGCTGGCGTACTTGTTAGGGATGAGACGGTGTTCATCGTCGGATTCGGGCTCAAGATTAGAAGGAAGGCCCAACTCCGTAATCCTGTCTTCAAATAGGAGGACCGCTAGAAAAGCATTCGCGTGTCCCTCTTTCACCGCCTGTTTGTTGTCCTTGTCCCATAGTTCTTCCGCCCATTCCCTGTGAGTGGCATCCAGTGGCTCCGGTTTGCTGGGGTCATTCACGAAATAACCAGCACGAGCCCAGAGAGCGAGGCGGCGCTCCTTCGAAGGCGCTTGGACGGCGCGTTGGTAGTCGAAGGCCCCCCGAGGCCCTTTTGCTCGAGCTCTATCCGACCAGCGCCAGTTGGCGTAATTATCCAACGTGTGGGCCGCCGACTTGAACTTGGCAATAACATTCTCGGATTCACGGAGTTCGCTGATCGCGCGATCTCTGTAGGCTATAGCCTTGAAGTATTCCTCTTGCGGGATGCGCATCTGTTGAACCCATTTAAGGGAGTACTGTTTTTTCAGAGCCTCAACACGCCAGAGCTGCATGGCTGAAACCGGATTGGTTAACGCGGGAAGGGGGCGTGAGCCGTTGTTTGGCTCCTGGTAGGATTGGATCTTCGGGTCCCCTTGAGAGCTCACAAGCAGGAGCTGTCCGGCAGCAGCGATTCGTGATAGCCACTGTTCGACTTCCACTCGGGAGGACCCTGGGATTAACTGGATGGGGAACTTCGATATCAATTCGCGAGAGGAAGCGGGATACGAAATTATACTCTCGTGGGGCTTGGAAGCGCTAGAGGAACCAGCTGTACCAACGGTGGATGCTTTAGTCCAAGGTGTGTCCGGACTCGCAGGTGCCAAGGGCCGCGTTTGGATCCCCGAGGAGTTCCAGCTAAAAAGGGATCCCTCAGTCTGGTCTTCCGGGTTTGCCACTGGTCTAGCTGCAGCTTCCCACTTAGGGTTAGGCCTCGATTGGGACGGAACGCGATAAGTTTGAAGTATCGGGGGCTGGGCGAGAATCGTGGAGGGGGGGAGTCGAGAACGGTGCTCTTCTAGAAGGGAGGGGAGCAACGGGGCGGGGCGGAGTCCACGTCCATCTATTCTGAGGAATGGAATCGACTTGTCCTCTACGTTGTTCGAGGGGGTACCTCTCTCTCTTGGCGTACCCTGGGGTCTGTCCTCGATCGCGATCATCCCTCCATCGCGTATGGTCCCAACTTGATCATTCTTGCAGACGGTGGGGCGGCCACGATGCGTCCCAATTGTCCCGGCGAGGAGGGGGAGTGGGATCCGGACGCCGATACGATGGGCGATCGGGTGAGGAACGCAGAGTAGCTCGTTGCCGCGGCGGTGCATGTGACTCGACTGTTGGAGGGCGGGAAGATGGAGGAGAAGCGGGCGTGAGATGAGAATGCTCAAGCATCGTCGTAATAGGGGCACACGCGTGCTTCTCCGCGGGCGAAGCCCGCTCCTTGTTCGAGTCGCTGGGGAGGGCTGCTTGGGTTCCGCAAGACGGGGGTCGAACGTCTAATCCGAGAGAGAAAAGTGGAGGAACGATGCTGGGGGAAGAGGACACAGGGGTTCCTTGTGAGGCCATCGCCGTTTCGAGCCCCTGGCGTGCCCTTTTCTGAGCGAACAGAACATTGCTCAGATAAGCAAGCAAGTGTCTTGAGGGGAGCACAAAGCGTAGCAGTACGAGCATAAACAGGAGGGACTGCGAAAGTCGTCATCAATTGACAGTAATTGTAACTCTACCCAAGGAGCAAGCCTGTATTACCCCACTCGCCCTGGTGAAACTTCTGCAACCGTTCTTCACGGCCGTTTGCTAAGCTACTCTTGAGCAGCAGGTCCAGCAGTGCTCGCCCGCGTTTGCCCTCTTCGTGTAATCTTCTCCACTTGTTGTCCTTGTAGAGCTGCTCGAACAGCAGCTGCTTCCCCTCGTCATCCCAGCCGTCGAAGCGTGGGCCTGCCGCGACGATCTGCGGCACGACCTGTCCGCATTCAACGTCCACCAACCCGCTTAGATGAATATTGCCCTCGGTATAGACCCCCAAAATGTTGTGCATGCTCCACATGTCCTCGTCCCACAACACGTTCTTGCTCTCCTTGAACAGACCGCTATTTTCTTCCGGGCCGTCGATGATAGCCATTAACTTGCTAATGTATTAGGGCGGAACATGAGGCCCAGGCTTCGGCTGTGGTGGGTCGCGCTCGTACTCCATGGAACCGTTGAGGACTTGCTTGTACCACTCTGCCGCGGTAGACGCGGGATCCCTGGCCCGCGGTGGACCTCTGATGTACCCCTGGTGCAAGCCTCTCAGTGTTATCATGCTGCCGACGTACAGGTCGGGATAGCTTTCGCACAGGTTACGCTTTCCCTCCTGAGGGCTGGTGAAGTGCAGACTGCCTATTTGGGCAAATTCAACGGCGAACACCTTGAGTATCCAGGTGGCGACTTGTTCGACAACACGCAACTTCGCTTGGGGCGATAAAGAGGGCCAGATACCAGAGAGCGGCTGTCCCGGTATCTGATCAACTGTGAGCGGGGTCTCAAAGCGGGCGGAGGGCACGCAACTCACAAGTTGCAACAGTGTCCATGGTGTCCCCACAGGATTATCGTTCCCTGGATGGAACCCGTACACAGCCGGCACGGGAATGTCCATTAATCTGCGCAGCGCAATTAATGACGCCACCTACATCCGTCGTCAACCTTGCTGAGTGGGTACGCGGTTCCTGGGAACATCTACCTCACAGGTTTCCTTTTGATTCGGCCAATAAGGATGGGTTTCTTGAAATGTCTCAAACTGCGTGCCTATAAGGCGAAGTCCGTATTCTTGCCCTAATCTTGTCTTCACAGTAAGAACCTAAACATTGGTCAGGCCACATAACAGCAGATCTTGGGCTGATCGCGTACTACATGATTAGATCCTGACACGATAGTTCCGAAGCATGAGCAGCTGCAAACAAGGCACGCAAAGCAACGCACGCACCATAGTCCAGGAACGTTAGATGGCGGCATCGGTCCTTCTCGTCGGGAAGGAACCTGTCCAGCCCTCGCATTATGTCGATTAGGTGTAGGTGGGGGGGTCAGATTTGCTGTGGGTGCGCATCTCAACAGGGGGGTTTCGAAACAAGTCTTGGATTACCCATGGAGCATAGTCCAACAAGTACCTTGCACAGCGCAACATGATAGATCGGCACAGGTAAGTGATAGTCGTGGTTCGTGTCGCGCCTCCGAGAAGAGGGTCCGTCAAGCATAACCATCGTAAAATGATGGTAGAGGCGCTTTCAGGGTCTGATGCTTCCACCCGGAAGCATGTAATGCCTTGTAGGGCACAGAATGTATTATAGCTCCATCTAGTAGTAGCCGGGAATATCACCCTTATCCATGGACTTAAGTGCCTCACTGTGCTAAGCATGATGTTCAGGCCTTCTTACGTTGCCCTCCACAAGTGTTTGTTTTGATTACACACGGTACGAGCGCCAAAACACGTGTGCGCACTGCACCACACATTCTCCTCTCTCTCGTCTCCTACCCTCATCCTTCTTCCCCCTCGTCAACCACTCTCAGACCTTCCGCTTCACTATGCTCTGGTCTGGAACATCAGGTCAAAAGAGCATAATGATGTTCCGGTGCGTACGCTCATTTCAAGCCTCAGGGTTCACCTTCAACAACATTCTGACCAGTTCTAGATATGATTCTACTGCATTTCAACGCGTTCTCACTGTCCCCTGATGCTCCATACGAACCCCTGGGGACCCGAGTATGCCAGTCTGCGACCTCCACCGGAACATCGTGGTGCCAGCACGTCGGTCACTGCCTAGCTGGCAACTGCTGGTAGCACAGGATCCTTGCTCAGTCAGCGCGCAGTTCCGGTTTCCATATCCCCGGACTGCTTGCGTCCTTCTCGACGGGCCCCAACGAAAGCAGTCGGCTACGATTCCACTTTCGTCACCTTTTAGATTGTTCTTCGTGTGCCTTTTCACTTCTTGGCTGGCCTATGTGTTCGGTCATTAACCTACGTGTTTTGCCGACTTGTCTGAATTGTTTTGGAGACACAATCAACTATCCGTCTACTATGGGTGAAAAGGGAGATTTATTACGCAACTTCCTCCTATCGCGGTTTTCCTCCGAAGCGGTACGTTTGACCAAGCGAGCACCAGTGAGTGCTGGCCGTGTGGCGAGCAACTACAAGTGCGGCCTGCACACCCTTCTCACGATAGAACAAACGTCCGCAGTGGGCCTCGCGGTGCATGCACAGGCGTACCCTGCCTCTGATATATAGTAACCCAGGCTTTGTCTGATGAGGCAGCAAAGTCCAATCCCAGACACCAAAACAATCGCTTCATCCCACCCACATATTAACAACCATGACCTCCACGCCCGATCTCTCCACTTCAAAGCACACACGCTCGAACTCTCAAGTCTGGCATGACCGGACAGTTTACAAAGAAGGCGCCACTATTAGGGTCTGGATGCGGGACCAGAACGGTCACACAAACAGAGATTTGGGTACCAAGTTTCGTTGCACTAAAGAACGTATGTGTGCTTGAGTTGCATGGATATGTGTACTTGAGTTACTGACTGTTGTTGCTCAGATGAAGCCAGTGAAGAGAATCAGGTAGTACTTGATTTGATTCCTCTTGCAGCATTATCGACTAACTTTGGCAAACCCCATGTACGGAACTGGCAATTGGAAGGATTGTTGGGAGCTGGTGGAGAAGAAGTCAGATCAGAAGTAGCTGAACACCACTATTCTAGCCTACAAGAGGCAGATGTGATAACCATCTTTGTATGAGACTGCTGTAGGGGAAAGTTGTTTGAAAAGATCATGCCATTCTGGTGGAAACTGGGTAGATAGTATATGCAACGTTACCACTTGCATATCATGGTTTGCTGGTTTGACCCATGCACCTGCACATGAACTTTTTGCTGCTTCAGTCGAGTGTTAGGGTGAGAGAGAAATCAGCGATCATAGCCGTCCTCCATACGAACTGGGGGTCATCAGAGGAATTAACTCCGCCAATCCGCGCCACGCACTCGAACCCTGACACACTCATCAGGTTGACCACCCTCACCTCGCTTGATCTCCCCTCTGGCTCTCATGAGATATTTTTACAATCTGCCTTCTTTATCCGCAATCACTGTACGGAGCTCCCCAACCCAGATCAAGTCCGTGCTCGATGTCGAGCAGAAGGAGGGAATGACGGTTCTGCACGTCCACCGCCAGCACGATTCCCACACCTCGGCCTGCTGGTCAAGTTAGGACCACTTGTCTCGATCAGCGAGGGTCAGTGTCCGTTATGGCTTCATCGGCAGGGCATCATTCGAGTGCCCGAAATATATGGATGGATCACGGATGGCCATGAAGTTTATCTATACATGGAGTTAATCCCTGGTGTCACTCTGGAACAACGCTGGCCTTGGCTCTCGTCGTCCGAAAAGGAGAACATTGCCCATAAACTCCGTGGGTTAATGGAGAATCTTCATTCCATTTCGTCTGAGCCCGGGGAACCATACATTGGTACGCCTGTCCAACAAACCCGTCATTGCATTGTTGACACCTTCTGTAGGAAGTATCGGAAAACAGCCACTTCATGACGATATCTTCGCCTCTTACATCGAAATGCCAGGACCCTTCAAGTCGGTCGAAGATTTCCACGACTTCCTTCTTCAGTACTACCACCATCCTTCCGGATATGTGCATCCTTGGAGATGCAAACTTCCGTCAAATTGCGGAATACAATTCACGCACGGCGACCTCCACATGGGAAACATTCTGGTGTCCCCTCCTCAGCCTTGGAGCTGAGAATCCATGTGGAATATGTGGAAGCAGTGGTCTAGCAGCGGGCGGGCATTAAGGTCGACATGGTGGGCTCTTTGTGCCGAGGGGTTGCAGGGATGGTCCATGTGGGAGTCAACAATGTGCTGGATAAGGGGAGCACTGTCGGGGACACTCCGCCGCAACACAAAGAGAAGTGAACCACATGTTGTCGCCATTATTGATTGGCACTAGTCGGGCTGGCTGCCGTCATATTGGGAATATTGCAAGGTGATGTGGATCGCGTCGTTCCAGGAGGAGAGCTGGGCCGATCTGTTGTTGATTATTCTTGACTCGAACCCTACTTTTGAGACGTGGTGTGACATTGCAGCTTCAGCAGCCGTTTAGATGAATGGACTTGGGCTAATAGTATTTGATCGGACGAGACAAGTGCCACGAGCGACGAGTCATGCCAAGCTTCGGTGGCAAGCGCGTTCATGTTGTTGAGGGCGATGTGTTTATGGAGTATGTCATCAACGTGCCGAGAAGGGTGGAAAGCGCAACCATAGTGGCCATGTTCGTATGTGCTGGGTGTAGGGTTCCAACCTGAGTCTACCATCTAAGCTTCCACAATGGGTCCGGAATGTCATGCCTCAACTATCACCCCTAACAGAGAGGAGCATTCTGTGGTCGCAAAATGGCCACGGTCGTCGACAACATAGCTGAAGCATGCTGCCAGCCAGCTCTCGGCTCACGCACCCAGTAGAAAGCCACAGCAACTCTTTCCTTTATTCGACCGAGTCCCAAAGTAACCAACAGCAATCCCTGGTGGTAGCCGCGCTGCCCCACAGCAGCAGGAAACTGACCTCTGCGAGAACAGCCCAGCGAGGGTTCGTTGGCGCGCTCACAGGATGTCCTGCGGGGACGCCTGGGCACGAAAAGGTTCCAGGCTTTGCGGAGACAGCCCAGCCATGTCAGTCAAGGCTTGTGGAGGTTAATGGTGAAGGTAAGGGAGCGAGGAGGGGGGGAGGCATCGAGAGGCGGCAAAAGGACGATGGACAGGTGTGAAAAATTATGAACAAGGTTGTTAGCATACCTTTGTACGGGCGAAATGAACCGGCAGGAGGTTTCAAGCAAAGACAGTTGTTTGTAATGTGAATTAGTCGTCTGTGGCTTATTCACTTCAGTTTCCGGTTGTCGTCCTACTTCACGGACTGCAACTCGTCCACATCAACATCTGAGGATATAGTTGTTACTCGCCTTCCAGCCCACTTCAAGACCTCAAATTTATTGAATAGTCCAGCAAAAGGGGGTGACCCGCTGACTGCTTTGACTCGCTAAGTGTTCATCTACGTCAGTAGTTCGACTTAATGCATGACCAAGTCAATTGACGTAGGCTGACGTTTATTATTAGCCGTCCGAGAAGGGGCAGCTTTGGACAGTTAAGGCGGCCACCCTTCAGTTGATGACTGTTATCTGTCAGGGATGCCAACCCAGCAGGGCATGCACATGCTCTCTTTGGCAAAGGTTTCATGCGCTTTGAAACTACTAGATACCATAGGGACAGTATACTAGCTAGTAATAGACCCTCTTGAGAACTCCCCACGAGTGAGCAGTCGACCGGTAACGCTTGCAGTGCAACGGTATGTCGAGGCGGTGAAGCATTATATTGTGAGTGGGGACTACTTGTGGGGGACTCTGAGGGAGGAAAGTAACGAAGGAGAAAGTTATCCGAGTCCCCCTGTCCCGGAGACTGCTCAGTAGCTAATATAGTAAAAATGAGAAGTGGAGGTAAAAGAAAATAATAGGTGCCATGGAAGAGAAGTGAAACTAATTAGGTGAGACAAGCTTCAATGATGGTCCCGCGGTATCCGGATACTGCACACAGTCCCTGACAGTCATATCATGGGTCATATTGTGTAATGAGTAACATAGATTATCAGTAAGCGGATCAAATCAATGAGTGGATCATTGTCCCGGACGTGTTAACTTTGAGCTGCAACAATGCTACAATGACACATCTGATGATGGGGGGGTGGATAGGGGGGAGAGACTATCAGTAATGCCGGCGTCTGGACATGTTCTTGCATTGTGACCAGGCTGTTGACAGTTCCCACAATGGCGAACAGCAGTCCTTTGACGCTTGTTGGCCCTGGTGCCCACACCTTCCTCTCCATCCTCTCGTGCTCTGATAGCATGTTCTCCCAGCAGCTGGCTTGCAGCCTCGCCCGTGAGCACCCCAGAATCTTGTATCCTGGCTCTCTTTGTTTGTCTTTGCTTGGAGAGCAGGTCGTTTGCATTGCAGAGTGCCTTGACCTCACCAGTCAACAGGGTCAGTTGATGGCTCACTGCAATTGTTGCCTTTGCTAGCTGGTCTACTGACCTGATTATCTCGGATGGCAAGCTCCCTTGGTGTCTAGCAATGCACTCCTTGATGAGAGTTGACTGTGACAATGCTTCATGTGCAGTCTTGGGCGTCTGCAATAGCCAGGGTTGGGCAGAGTGAGTCGCATTGGGTGGAGGTGTTGGCGTTCACAATTGGACATTGAGCTTTGCTAATACTGCACTTGGATTGCAGGGGACTAGCCCAGCACCTCAAAAGCCACTCTTGATGTTGGACTCAATAAATGTTGCTTCAAATGCTTTGCGGAACGCAGGGAAGAAGTCGTCCTTTGTGATGTGGGTGATCCCTGCTCAAATGAGGTTGGAGATTTGCATGCTGTATGCTTTCTTCAGTATTCCAAACACACTGACGTCAAGTGGTTGGGTAAGGTGCAATGAATGTGCTGGCAGACAAAGGGGAATGATGTCGTTACTCTTGCAGTATTCGGCAAACTCGGCATTAACATGGCTTTCATGACCATCAAGGACTAACATGCGATATTGGCCCACTCGGCGAGTTCTTGTATACTCATCACAGTGATGTAGCCATTCCAGACCAGTAGCATTGTCTGTCCAACCATTATGAGTTGTCTTGACTGCCCAGGAGTGTGGAATGTGACCATCAGAGTCCCACGGAGCAAGGTGATACTGTCCTGCAACACAGATGAATGGCGGCACAACTTGACCATCAGCTGAGATGCAACAGATCACAGTTGCCCACTCTTGATTTCCAGGCTGGATCACTTTCGGTTTGGTGTTCCGGTCAGACCATGTAACAACTGTTGCCGCTCGAATCATGCCCGTTGCAAAGTCTGTCTCATTGAAGTTGTAGAGATCACCATCTTGAATGCCATACTTTGCTCGCATGTTGCTGGCAAGAGAGAACCATGCTTCCAATGCTCTTGGGTCTTCCTGTCTGGCTCGTTGGTAGTCATAGGTGCGAGAGAAATGAGTACACAGCTCTTCACATCGTTTGATGAAGCAATCTGTCCAACACTTCCCCACCTGCTTCTCTGATCGCTTCGCCAGGAGCATATTCACCATATCTTCCACATCAGCCCTCCGAGGTGAAAATCCTCGTGCATCCAGCTGCAGTATGTACTGCACAATCCCCTCCTCCTCCGATGAAGTCAACAGAGCATGCCCACTCCTGGTATCTGACTTCGATTGTATGCCCTTGTAGCGTCTATGCACTGTGGTGTAAGGGACCTCGAAGGTTTTTGCAGCTTGACGAACTGACATATTCGGATCTGCTTGCAATGCCTGAACAGCCAGCATCACCTGACGCTCCTTTGAAGATGATAGCATTGTTGTATAGAATATCAAGTGACAGAAAGAGTATGCGACATGGTGGTTCAGGGTGAAGTGATCCGACTGATTTGATCCGCTTACTGATAATCTACGTTATATTGACTAATGCCGGTACTAACGAACTACAATACAGTCGAAATGCCGGCCACAGGTGAGCTGGAGCATGTAGACGAATAAATGAAGTGGCTCGTCTGGGGTGAGCTGGATAGGGCGATTGGGTGGGTGAAGTGCTCGGATGCAGTTTTCGAGTACCTTGAGGCTTGTCAATATGGATTCTCCTGCTCTATAGAGATATGTCCACAGGAGGCGGCAGATAACATTAAGTGCAAGTACGCGTGCAGCCTTGTCCTTCAGCTTCCCCACGCATATATCGAAACATGCCTGCCAATGCTTGAGGAAGAAGTCTGTAGGCACACAGCAGAGACTTGTAATCGTGAGTGGGAGTGCAGACGCCCAGTAACGCGGCTTCGACATCATACTGAACGCTCTCGGATAGATCGACTGTACAGCTTTCGACCACAAAGGATGGTTGACCTCCGCGCCTGCAGTCTTCCGTACAGGGCCCAGTCAGCGCCTCCGCAAACGCAGTTTTGATCGACTGTCCGTGGGCATTTGCAAATTGGCCCGCAAAGGCAGCTAGGAACTCGGCAGCTTCCTCGAATGCCTCTGGCTGCCAGACACGGAGCTTCACGTGCTTCAGTCCACGAAGGAGATGCTCGACACGTGCGTCTGTTTCTCCTTGGTCTGATGAGAGGGAGGAGATCGCAGTGAGGAACTCGTCCGTCACGCTCTCAAAGTGCGCATCAGCCATCGCACCAAGCACTTCAGAGTACAGAGAACCGATGGATTTCCAATTCGAAGACTGGGCGAGCGCGCGAGGGTCTAGGTCGCGATATTCGGCGAAAATGGTATGCTCGAGTTGAGTTGCGAGAGAAGAGGGAGGGCTGTCTTTGGTCATTGTCTGGATGAGGACAAGCAATGCGCGAGAAAATACATAGATGGATGCCACCTAGAAAATGAAGCCAAAGGCGATGATGATCAGGTCTACCGTCACCCACGATTAGCATACATCAAAACACGTACATGTTTTCGCTGGTTGAGGATACCTCGTGCCTCACCCCCCATCCTCCCCTTCCCTCCGGTAGCCTGTAGCGCCTTCTCAACGATATCAAGCGGCACAGATTCGCGCTGTGTCTTTCGCCAAGGCATGATTGCTTCTACTACAGGGCCAGCATTGCATACTGCGATATGTGCTAGGGAGAGGAGAAGGGCGTCTAGGGTGGGATCGACTTTCCGGCCGAAAACGGAGGCGACTGAAGGGTCCTTTTCCTGCAAACAACGATATCAGCCACTAGCGTCACATCCGAACAAGAGAAAACTTACCAAGCTGAAGTCCAAAATCTTGCGCATCTTATCCTCTACCTTGGCAACAAATTGGGTGAACACGACGTGCAGCACTAGTTCTCCAGGTGTGCGGGGTTCTCCTTCTCCACCAACAGCAGCCGCGCCCAAACCGACAGCTTCGTCCACCCCGACCGCAGTCTGCAGGCCAGTCGCGCGCATGCCAACAGATCGTGGTAGCTTAGGCACGGGAGGCACAGGCTCAGACAGGTCAGAATCGTATGCCCAGCTACTGGCAGCACTGTGCGTAAAGGCCCAGTTCCCAGAAGGACGACCACTGCTTGTTGACAGTCCTGCACTTGGACGATTCGCGTGCTGCCCTTGTTCTCCTCCTTGCCCAGAGCTCGCGCTTTGCTGACTTTGCTGACTCTGTGCTGTTCCGGGGTGGGAACAAGAGGACAAAGTAGGTCGTTTCTTTACATTACTCTTCACGCTTGCTGCTGGGCTCCCAGCACAAGGTGTATCATTACGCGGCTGTTTCGCAAACGGATTGCGCAGCTCGGGGTATGTGCCGTTCTCTCCCTCTCATGTAACAGAAGCAGATACCGAAGCGGAGGGTTTGTCTCGCAAGTTGAGCGCCAGAACGGGAGGGACGCGTTCCGAAGATTCTGCGAACGCACGTACGCTCTTCATTGCAGCTCTGAGGCTCGCGAAACTGCTTTTCTTGCTTGGAGTGCCCCCCGTCGCGTTGGTGGCGATGCTGCTGCTGCTCGCGTGGCCCTGGGGACGTGGGAGGGAGGTAGAACTTGTCGATGCCGGAGTGAGAGCAGGGGGTGACCTGACAGAGCACGAAGAGAGCGAATGCAGTGACATATCGCTCGATACCGAGTCCCCTCTCCCGTGCCTGGGTGGGAAACGGCCTGCCGGTCCAGAAGGAGAGTCATCCGCTGCCCAAGCCCCACCGCCAAATGACCCTGCACTAGGAAGCGGAGAGTCGGAGTCGAAAAACGGTCGGTGGTGCCCATGTGGCATGGGAGTGATCAGGTTCCCGTAGTCTTCATCTTCTTTTCTAATCTGAACGATCGATGATGATCAGCGTGTGTCAACAAGCAGGGGAAAAAAGGAACGCGCTTGGAATCTCGATTTGAAATGACTCTCCTGCGCTCATCCTCTAGTCTTATTCGAGGATGACAGTAGTAAAAGGAAAGCAAGATATAGCTGACGGCGCCTAGCAGGCAGTGAACAAAGCGAAGCGTTGCCTGCCGTGTGTGGCAAGGGGCGAACCCTTTCGGCCTCAGGGTGACTGTCCTCGGATGCAACACTAACATTCCTGCTTGTGTAAGTGATTGTTATGTCTATCATCAAACTTGCTCAGGTCAGATCGTTTGTTGATTAACGCATGGTCTATTCATATTTCTTATCCGCTTTCTGTTGTTAAAGTCGTATGCCGTTATTCTTCTTTCATAGTAACTCCGCAGGCTGGACCTCGTATTTATGAGGTTTCATACATTCCATCCCACAACCATGCGATGTATTTCCCCGTGTTTCCCATGACATAACCCAATCAAATTGGAATGCGAACAAAGTGGGCTGACACTAGTATCGAACTGCAGAAGGTCCAAGGCTACCAGTACTTCCCCGACATGAATCACCTGAGTAGCACCTTCCCATCTATTTTAAGCCACCGTATACTTCCCACCCTTCTCAATTCCGCGCTTCCACGCCTCCCTCTCATGTACCCTCGCCACGTACTCCTTGATCTTCGGTCCCACCCCTGGTCCTCGCGAAACCAGCGTCTCCAGGGTGAATATCATCAGGAAGTCGGCAGACGTCGGGTTCGGGGCAGAGGCGAACCAACCGGTAGAAGATTTTGCGAGATGAGCTTCGATCTACTGTTATGTTAGCTTGCTACCCGGTGCGAGGGAGGAGGGCAGCAAACCATCTCCGCGTTCTCTTTAAGCTGCGGGTCGATAAGCAAATGCTGTACGTCTTCGCTACTCATCAACTCCTCTCCTCAAGACATAGCACAGGACGCACTGTTACAAATAAGGCGCGCGATAAGGCGGATGAAGAACGGTGCCACCCCACTCGGCCTCACTGAATCATTTGTACGGGTTTAACAATTAACATGAGAAAGATCAAAATGAATGAATGGTCCATGACTTTTAGAAGCATTCGTATCTGCCAATGAGCTGTCCTCGTCCCTCTTCGCCTATGGTGAAGGTCAGTAGAGTGGGAATGAGACCTGGGATTTTGACCTTTACCTTTGTATATATCCTCACGGGACGGTTCTTTTTTGGCCTCTCGTCCTTATGGCATGAGAGTGTGAAGAGGACCAACGTGCATCCCTACTCTTCCCCCCCCAGAATTCAGCAGCTCGGACACGTCTGTCAACTGCGCCCCAGCTCGCCCTGCGCTCGACTCCTCACAGAATCGATTACATTTTGTGAGAATGGCGATGTAAGCCTGCAACTTCTTCTGGTCGCTAGATTCGCGCAACAAGGTAGATAGCGTCAGTTGCGGCCAGAGGAACGAGAGGAAGACAGCGGATCCTTCGACATCGGTGACATCGGGCCGGTCCGAGAAATGAAGGTAGAGAGATCTTGTCGTGCAGGCTTCAGTGCAGGCAAAGAGGGGAACACTCCGCTGAAATCGATGGTCGAAAGATATATTCTCTGAAGCAGCGGGCAATGAACACGAAAGGCCAATAGACTCGCAAAAGTCGGTAGTACTGGTGGCCTTCTGGTCTCTCTCCCGTCATCCCAGTGCAAGGAGAACTCGCGCAGGAATGGCCATCCGATTGCCATTGCCTTGAGGTCCCCATCTGGCACGTCCATCATGCCGTATCGACACAGGCAAGAAAGAGAAAATATAACCATAGAAGAACAATGGTTCACAGGCTCCAAGTGATCCAGGAGTGGTGGCTCATCACCCCTGTCCAGATCGATCTCCAAAATCAGCTCTTGTACGTGGGGGAAACGATCCACTACCAAATGGCTGAGCTGTTGATAATGGACACTCTTCACACGCTCGACAGATTCCTGAAGTTTTGAGCCCATCGATATTGTAATATGGCGAAGTCCAGCCACCAAAAATTGGAGTATGTTAAGGACAAGGGACGGGATTGCAGAAATGACAAGGCTTCGTAGGGCGTGGATCATCACAACACTCGATAAAGGCGCCCGTTCTACTAAAGCAGAATGGAGCATGTTCAACTCCAGGCTCCTGAGTTCACTTGCTGCCGCGGCCACCGATTGAGTGAACATAACAGCGGAGGTGCAGAAATAGGTAATAGGGCTGTTTGAAAGCAAAGTAGTCATTGAGCTTTCGCAGCATCGCTCGTTGTTGGCAAAGCCCATCAACGAGAACGAGCTAAGATGTTTCACTGTGCGGCAGGTTCGGCGCAACAATCCATCCACCGCGAGCGACCACGTTCGGCTGCCCTCAGATTCTTGCCGATGACCAATGCACAGTTCAACCTTCAGCAGGGAAGGGACAATGAAATGGCTCGCTACAAAGAGTGCCTCCAAACGTGCTGACCAATCGAGTGAAAGCGACTGCAAGTTCGGAAACCAGTGCTCTGTATTAGACGAGAAGAGATCGATGGCAATACTGAGGTATCGTGGGAAGTCAATATCGATCTTGCTTTGATCTTCACAGTAGACAGTGAATCGGTCGTCAATGTGAATGGCTCGGGCGAATGACGCATATAGAGTGACTCGTCCAAAACTTGATGGCACGATGCTCTGGAATCAGATTAGAGTACAATCAAGGGAATAAGAAAATCGTACTCACAGTGCCGTTATGCTCCCAGTTCACATACAGAATCTTCAGCAGTTCGTCTACTTTTTGGACGTCAAGCGATCTCCATATGAGCGGCGCTGCGGTATCAAAGCACATGCGCAATGTCAACATCATACTGTGGAGGTCTCCATTCTCAGCAACATAATCGGCAATATGCTGTACGACTTCGAGGATGGTCCACACACGATGCATATGCAGTTAACACAGTAGGAGGTGGTGGAGAACAAGTTGTGACACGACGCGACGCGTCTAATTCTATTGAACGTGCGAACGGAGTCCTCACCCAGAGTAACCTCCAACCAAACCCCCGCACTCGGCATCCACATGTCACATCTCATGTTCCTCCGCAACTGTATAGCAGACAGCATCCCCCGCTCTTTGCGGATGGCGTGGCTTGGAACTCGACCATATCGACTGTTGCTCTTGGGTACTACCTGGATCGGTTAGAGGAGAGTAAAATATGGCGACCGAACAACCTGCTACTGATGTTCCTGCCGACGCTCCCGTTGCAGCCCCCGAGCCTGCACCTGCCGCACCTGCCGCACCTGCGGAGCCTGCACCGTCTGAGCCAGCCCCGAACGAGTCTCATCCAGACGAAGGCAAGGTCGTAGCACCTGAGATCGAAGCTGCAGCGGTTCCCGATGTCACCCCCGCCGCTGCAGAGGTCGTACCCGTGGCGCAGGAGGGGAGCAGATTAGTGCTGCATCACCTGAACAACAGCCGGAGCCAAAGGATCTTGTGGTTACTCGAGGTACGCATCCTCTCCCCTCTCCCCTACTCAATACTGATTATGACCTCGATGGTAGGAGCTCGGAGTTCCCTACGAGATCAAGTCCTACCATCGTCTTCCATCGATGCAGGCCCCTCCGGAGCTCAAGGCTATCCATCCACTCGGGAAGAGTCCTGTGATGCAGGACGGGGATGTCAATCTCGCGGAGAGCGGGGCGATCATCGGTGCGTTTCTGATGTGCTGGTTGCGGAGCAGGGCTGAGGCGGTGTAGAGTACCTGATCAAGAAGTATGGGAAGGGGAGGTTTGACCCTGGGGAGGATGGATGGGTGGATAACCTGTACTGTGCGTATTCACTTCCCGTTTATATCCTTCGATGCTTCCAGGCTGAGCATTCGATAGACACGCACTATGCGGAAGGCAGTCTCCAGCCTATCATCGTCATGAGTCTCATATTTAGCATCCTCCCCGCTTGGGGGGGTTGGTCGGAGGTTATGGCACTGCAGGGTGAGGTTCCTCGTGCGCACGTGTTTGATGTAGACTGGTCAGCAAATGAACAATATTGCATAATATTGCGATACAATACAATGAGGATTCGACACAGGAATTAGGAGACCTAATGAAAACGCAAAGAGAAACCTAACATCGCTCAAACACCCTGTACAAGTCCCTCAACTCTGCAACCTGCACCATGTCCCTCTCGAGCAGCCCTCGAGGAGGTACAAGATACTTCCTGAACGCGGGAAATAGCACATGCTCGATCTGCCACTCCTCGCCTTTCCTCTTCCCTTGCTCTTGCTCTTCCGGCGCAGGGGCTTCCTTCTCTCGTACAACAGAACCAGGGGCGTAGAAATAAGCTAACTCCCGTAGGAAGGTGGAGAAGCATTCGGATTCCGACGTCCAGTTCACTTGCGGCGCGAGACGCATGAGGAAGAGTGGGAGACGGTCGAGGTTTGGCGTGTATCCGGGCAGGAGGAGTGGGTAGACACCTCACCAGAAGACGTGATCTTGAGCGAGAAATATTCTGCCAGCATGCCTCTTTGAGGCATGATGGGTTTGAGAATGGACTGCAGCAGCGCC